CTTCCATCATTCTTTGCATCGTTATCTTTCGAGAGAGAAGCTCTTGAAACTTGATGTTCCTAGTTTCCACGAATATTCCCAACGAGGAAAAATAGACTCATAAAGCATGTCGCGTGGTGTACGCTCAAAACAATCGCGGCCAACTGAATTCGAGGATTAATGGATGCCGATGAAACATCGAAACCGCGGACAACGGCGCATGAAATATAAATTCCGTATCAACGGGAAGCCAGGAGGAGTGGTGGCGAGTGAATCGGAGCGTCTTCGCAACGGGATTATTCCAGGCACAATGAATTGCACGGCGAATTGCGAGAATCCCCCTTTTGAACTTCGTTGCATCGTACGAATACGAGAACAAAGGGACATTTCTGCACAAAGGAGTTTGTGGAGAGCACCTGAGAACACGATCTCTCTCTCTCTCTCTTTCTTTGTCTCTCCTCGTCCTCACCAGCTCTATATCTCACGAAAGAAAAATATTTATCTTCGAGGTACCGAATGGGCGGAAACGTTCGATCGAAATCGATTAACGAGAAAGAGAGAGATTTTTTTTCCCCCCTCATATTTAACGTTTTCTCAGATTTATCTTGGAAAAAGTTAGTACTCCTCTTGGAAGAAGAAAAATTCTTCGCAATTAAGAAGTTTTCCGGGAAAAAGATCGTAATTTGTCCTTCTTAATTATGATCTTCTATCTAATATATATAAATGTTTCGAAATATTTGAGAAAAGTTTAATATTATTTTTCTTTGTATTTCGTTCCTATTAAATATTGTTTCAAATACAAGTAATAAAAAAAAAGGAAGAAAGAATAACACACAATGATAATTACAATAGGTCGAAAATATAAAGAACCTTTGGGAGGGAAAGTCTCCCTCTCGTTTCAAAATTCTCTCCAAAATCTTTGCGAATAAATATCACGAAAGACAATGCCATTCATTGCGAAAATATATGTTGATTAACAGAGAATACTATTTAACTCGAAATGTCTCACGGTTTCACACGGCTTCGCGGGGAACGGACGTAAAACGTGATTTACCACCCTCTGTATTTTATACCTTCTCTGAATAGCGACCCCGTTCCCGAATAATCCCGTTTCAGCGATTCGAACAAGGGGTTAAGGAACTATTAGATCCCGAATAGGAGGGATATTCAAGCCGAAGAATATAGGAATCTATCCGAGAGAATCGCTCGAGAGGATCAGCAGAATGAATCGCCTCTCCCAGGATGATTGGAAGACGAATCGAATGAATTCTCGATATATCCTCGAATTCTCAAAATCTATGACGCATCCTTCCCTCCCCCTCCTCCCCTTTTCTTAAAAATTTCTCTCCAAAATTTTTAATTCTCGCTTCCTTTATATAACGCCTCCTTAAAATATTGAAAATATTCTCCAATCGTATGTTGTTTCGTATTTCACGAATTGAATCGCGATTGATTTCGAAACGTTTTCCACGCGACAAAGATACAGACATTATTAAACGGGTATTAAAACGCGAGATGAACGAAAGCCAGCCAGCTTCCCTCGACTTGCTAAAAATATTTCGATCTGTTCGAGTCGCGATACTCGAGAATAAGCATGCTCGAGAAATTCGCATAAAATATTGCGAAACGCGGACGTTTTACGCGAGTTGAGGCATCAAACACGGGAGGGAGGGAGTGATATAGAGGAGTTACTTTAAAAATGCATCACCAGTATCGCGGAGGATAAATCCGAAAACGAGAGATAAATATCGTATTGAGCGTCTGTTGTCCATGGAATATCAAATTGGTACGTTAGTTGTTAGGTTTAGGGATGGAACAAGAATCTGAAAATTGCATTCCATCGTCCAGCGTTATCTTTCTCAAAATTTTCCCAAATTTTCGGTCGAGATCGAATGAAAATTTATTTTAGCACGGATGTTCGCAACGTCGTGCAATGTTCATTACGGACATTATGTTGCAGAAACGTCGTACCAAAGTTTTGATTTCGCGTAACGTTAATACGAGGCGATAAATGATAATTACATCGGGGAGTAAAACATCGCAGTTATTTTACCGGTGGTGCGTGGATTTCCGGTACGTGGAGCTCCAGTTTGCTCGTTTGGGTACTATTCTTACAGAAGAAGAACAGTGCAATATGTGCAGCTGCAATTATGAATGTGCTACGCTGCTTTCATTAAAATCGGTGAAGATATACGAAGCTTTCATTGTCAGAGCTCTTACTCTTAATTCTTTGAAAACGCTATTTTTCTTCCTTTCTCTGTACTCTCAACCCTCGACATTCTCTGACCCTTCGTTAATTGCAGATTCTACGTAATCATTCGTCCATAAGCACGTAGAATCTTTTCCCCCTTTTTTTCTTCTTTTTATTACTCTCAGTTAAAAAAAGATCGGAAAAAAATATTTACAAATTTTCAGAGCAATTTATATTTTTATATCCTTCTTCTTCTTTTTTCGATTATAATTCTTCGCAATCACAGAATCTAAGTTAACTTTTTTTTGAACGATTTCACGCTTGTATAAAAATCGAAGACTCTTTTTAATAACACTTAACTCTTTCCACCAAACTCATTCCAAAAAAAATCTCATCATTTCCTCGATGCTTAAACATTTTCACTCCGCTCCGTTGAAATTACTTGAGACGAGGCTCGAGATATAGCCGCGAAATAACAGACACAACAATGGTAACGGATAATAACCATCCCTTAACGTCTTTTTCATGGCCATTTCTTATAACCTTTGGAAATAACGGAGAGAAAGAAAGGAAGGAAGAGAGAAGAACAGAGAGAGAGCGGAAGTGGCGTGGCGTATAGCCGGAAAAACTGTCTTGGACGGAGGTACGGGTGGAAGTTTGAGCGCCAACGTCCCGCAAAATTAGTTTCATTCGAGGAAAAAATGAGCCGTGCTCGGAGGGAACGGTTGCACGGTCGGGTTGGCATCGAGGAATGCCGGAGAGAGAGGAGGACTCGGATCGATATTGTACTCGTGTACAATGGTGGGCAACGTTCGTTCGATCCCCAAACCGGGATCCGTCCACGGTATATCGTAATTAACCAATTAAAACTTCCGGTCCCGTAATTTCCGAAATAATAACCGGTTT